TTACATTGCTCCAGTTGTATTCAATTTCATTAGCGGATGTCTTTCTGGTTTTATTTATTTTACCACTTGGCATTCTTCTTCCATTTCCTGCTGGTATCAATGCTCTATTCAGTCATGGACCCAGACGTTCTGCTGGCCTTGCACGTGTACATGCTTTGTGGAACCTTACATCCTTGATTAATGTCGTAAGTTTCTACTTTTTATCCTTTGCTTTGTAAGTCTTACCTCTCCCAATAAGATATAAGGAAGGCTTTCAAAAAGAAATAAATATTTTGGTACAATTGCTTCAAGTTCAGAAATTTTCTATTTCTTTACTGGAATCTGAGTTTGCTAATTTGTATTATATATTGATGCTGTATTCTTTTGCCAGGTGGTTGCTTTTGTTTGTGGATATGTTCATTATAGCACTCAGTCATCAAATAAAATACATCAATTTCAACCCTGGAATATTAGCATGTGAGAAGATCTCTAGCTGCCAAAAACTCTGTTAGTCCAAATAGTAAGTTCTGTTCTTGGCACAATACTCAACTAACAAGTTGTCTTTCTTTATCCGTGGCCGTCGATGCAGGGATGAAAGTGAATGGTGGATTTTTCCTGCTGGACTGCTGCTTTGTAAAATTTTTCAATCCCAGCTAATCAACTGGCATGTTGCCAATCTGGAGATTCAAGACCGTTCGTTGTACAGCAATGATGTTGAGCTGTTCTGGCAGTCGTGACCATATTTAACAAGATATTCTCCACAATTAACATGTATTTTTTGCTTTGTTCCTATTTTGTAATACTTTCCTCTTGTATGCTATTTTGACAGTAGGTGAGTGATTGACGTAGGTTAGGGAAAAAAAAAAGTGTTGAAATATGAAGTCAGGAAAGTAAAAAGAAATAGATGAGAGCAACAGTTGAGAGGAAATGATTTATTATGTAACCACTTTTGAAAAATGTGAAGTAAGTTTTCTGTAAATAGTAATTGGGGCACATATCATACCCACTCTTTAGTGGATTTGAGTCTTCATCGCCTACATTTTCCTGTAATACTTGGGCCCTGGCCCCGCTTATATATATAATCAGGACTTTCTTGGTCCATTTTATTTATTTTCATTATTGTTATTCGATTGGATCAATTGGCATGCGCAACTTTTCTAGATACAAACTGGTGTCTTCTTTGAGTCTTAAGTTCTCTGCCAAGTTCAGATTGCAGCTGGTTTTCGGTTTTGGGAGGAAAATCCTGTTCGTCCAAGTAGCACTCTTTCTGTTTTTGGTTGTAACTATATTGCAGCCGCAGCATATACCCACCCCAGTGTTGCACAAGATGGCAGAATTTGATTAGAAAGTATGACGAAACTGAAAACCTAAGTTCAATAGCTTTCTTTTCAGCAACTTATTTTTAACCTCAGTGTCTGATGCTTGGATCATGGATGATGTCTCATATTTTTAAGCTAAAAATGCATCCTCTAAGGCTCAGTCAGTAAGCAGCATATGATTGGTAAAATCGGACACATTTCTAATGATCAAACTGAAGCAGACGCATTTCTAAACTACGTAAGGTAAGATCGGCTAGCGCCACGACAGAAAGCTCATGTCCCATATCTTCATTTCATCACAAATGCACTGTTATATTGAAACAAAAGATTGAACGAGGACACATTTGAAATCAGGAAACATAAAGAAATATTTTTTTGAATGATAGGTTTCATGTTATTCCCTTGAGCCCACACATAGCTTAAGAGCTCCAAGAGAGAAGGAAAAAGCTATCTCTACTCCTTGTTCAAGACCTTGGGAACTTTAATATATGGCTCCTCATAGTTTGGAACAGCAGCAATCATGGCCTCCCTGTTGAAACACAAAAATAAGTTTCGATGGCTTTATCGATCGAATAAATGTGAACCCAAATTTGGATGCATGAATAGAGTGAACACAACCATCACACCTGTTCTCAAATGTTTCAGGAATATCGGCCCGGAAACTATCACCTTCAGTATCTGTAGTTAGCACAGAGAGAAATATAAGCAAGATTCAACCTCCTGCATTTGTTTATTTTTTTATTATAAATAATAATAATTACGAACAGGAAAAGCAATGCAGCTAAAGCCATGTGGTTGGGTTTTCAATCCCATTAATTTATTTTCAAAAAGAAAAATAATAACTCAAAACAAGAGTGAAATGTGAACTAAAAATGAGTGTTTATGAATGGTTTTGAAGCACCTGCTCTGATTGAGGGCTCCACACTTTGAAGATCAACATCTTGAAGCTGCCCAAACCTGTAAAAGAACCAGCCAACCATTACTCATCATAACAACAAACAAAACCCATAAAATACTTCAACATGATGTTAATTAAAGGAAAAGACTAAGCTTACCAATCTATAACAAGTCCAATTTTGGGAGCAAATTCTTCAACCTTTATAAGAGTGAAAATAATTATTAAAAAAAATTAAGAAATAAAAAGAATGGAAATTTAGTCAATGAAATGTATGACTATGATGAGGCATCAATTCAAAAGAAAACAGATAAGGGTAAGACACCTCATGAGGGGTCAGAGAAATTCGAGCAGTCTGAGCCAAACGAGGCAAGTCTGGAGGCTCCAGAGAAGGCCCGCTGCTTTGGGTTGTTGAGCAATTTGTTCGAACCCAGTTGTTGCTAGGACGAGGAAAGTTGCTTTTGCTGTTAAAGTTGTAGAAAAGCTGGTTCTTGGGTAGCGAAGAAGACGACACTCCCTTGACCAGAAGCAAAGCTCTGCTTCCCATTTTCTTCCTTCCTATCTGAAGTAAATTTGATGTTGAAAAAGGAACACGGCAGTAAAGTTTGTTTATTGGGCTGCTGGGCTGGGAGGAAAAAAAAACAAAAAAAATTACTGAAAAAGGAAGAGGACAGGTTGGACTGCTCGTTGTTTTACTAAGGGATTTAGAGTGAAATTTTTGACACTTAAGAAATTGGAGTGTAAATTTTTGGCATTTTGGAAGTTGCGAGCATGAATTTTATATTGGGAGTTTCACTAAAACACCCAAAATTGGGCTGAAATTATAAAAAAACCAAACACCCAAAACACTTTATAAACACACCCAAAACCCATCATTACACACACTCAAAACCCATTTATAAACACACCCAAAAAA